CCTCCTGGCCGGGCTGCAAATCTGATGTCCGACCTACAGATAGCCCCTGCCTCCTGTCCAGAGAGGATCCTGGAAAGACGAAGACAACAAACAATGTGCTTAATGGACAAACCTCCGAGAAGGGAGGACGTGTCCCCTTCCCAGGGACAAGCAACTCTTCAAGCTGTATTTTTTCTGCAGTTGCTTGTCCTCTTGTTTTAAGCCCCGCCAAGAGCCAGAGAGAATCAATATATCCAAATATACCGGACTTCTCCCAGAGTCCCTTCGCTGGTTTGCTGCTGATGTATAGACAGATGATCTCACGAGACTTCTGCCACGTTAGGGCACCGTGTCTCATCTATCTTAAGTGCGCATACGAGCTGCGATTACTACTGCAGCTGAGTGCCTCACGTCTTGAATGTATTTATCCTCCCGTCGGTCCTGTGAGACGAGGGACCGCTATCATACCTCTTCCAGGGAGGATGCAGAGGGCCGCGGAGGTTAAACGGACAGATTAGAGAGGATATCGGGGATGTGGCAATGTCGGCATCCTCCGAGCATCTCCCCCGTCTCGTGCCTCTGCTTGGCGAAGCACCTAAGTGGCACCTACCCCACAAATCACGGCTCGGACTCGGCTCAGGACTCCGGCACCGCCCAGGATCTAGCTTTCAGCACCCAGCCTAATCCCGAGATTAATGAGAGATTCCTGCTATAAAGACCTCTCGATCGGACCTCTTCCGAGTGAATACACCATCAAGCCAAACCATAATGTTTTCCTACCCTGGCAGCCGCCGTCTGAAGCTTTACACCAGAATCTGTCATACTAAAGCGATAATCAAAAAGCAATTAAGACAAAACCATGGCAGAAAAGTCCATCAAGGGTCGTTAAGGATGACGACTTGGATGCAGCCTCTGGCTCGGGACGTCTGCGTGCAGCAGACCGGCGCCGGCCAGGCAGAGGAGCCAGTGGAGGTATCTGCATGCACGCACCTAGTTTTTACACCCTTTCCTCGCGCCCCTGGCACCGTCACGGCAGGATGACCACACTGCAGAGCCCTCGTTATCATTACAGCTAAGCCATGCCTGCTCCTCCCAGGCCAGAGGCTGCTGAGCTCTCGTCCCTCCCGGGAGAGCCCTCACTTCAATTCCTCGGCAAGTTTCTCGAGCTTAACGGGAGGCGTGACGAGTCTCACATCTGCAATGTGGATAAATATCCCCCGGTTAGCTCGACACAGTGCCACTTGCTCTGCTAGTGAGTGGCTCCGCACGTTCTGGCGTTGCCCTGCGCCCGGCAGCTCGGGACACCGCGCTCTTTCCTAGCCAAGAGGAGCCAGCCTTGGTCTGCTGAGAGGTGAAAACCTGGCAACATGGCAACCACCATGACCCCATCAAAATTACACCAAAAAATAAATAAAGAGCCCAGTAACTATGGAAACACCCGAGCAACCCAAACTAGACGATTAACTAGAAGACCTCTCCAGTTTATGGATGGCATCGCCCTGCGAGGCTGGGGAACGTAATACATCCAAAGCCTCGGAAACAAAGAGATGCTCGGCACCTACGGGTGCAAACAGGAATGTGCGTGGGCATGCGCAACACCGCCTTTCAGACCCCGGCGTCCAAGTCCTCTGCAGAACCTACGTGTCCTCCGGAAAGATGCTGCCTTCGTGCTGGATGTTATACCCGGACCATGGTTATCTACATCCTTCTGTCCCTCTTCGCCCTCCTCCCTCCCTTCACCCTGCTGAGGACGCCTCTCTCGACTGCCATCCTAACGGTCTTGGCATCGCAGGGGTGCCGAGGGAGGACGGAATCAGCTGGAGCATCCGAGCCCAGGGCAGAGCCCCGATGCAGTTAAAGCCTCCTCCGCCGAGGCAGAAGCAGCTGCGACTACGCCGGCTCCCCTCCTGTTCCACCTCAACCTGTTCACCTGCGTCAACAGGAGTTGCTGTGGGTTAGTGCAGCATTACTGGGAGGGGAAATAAAGGACAGAGAGGGGTGAGGCAGAGGGACGGAAGATAGGCTGTAACGCATCTCGGTTGGGCCGGCCGCGGGTTCGCAAAACCCTTCTCCAGAGCCAGCGTCCTGCTTTTGCTCGCGGCAGGAGGAGGATGAGGATGGGCACGGGTAGGGCCAGCCACCACGCAAGACTCTGAGCAGGCACAGAGGCACCAACAGGGCCGGCACTCGTGCGATCACCAGCAGAAAACTCTCTTGCTCAGGTTCACTCGGCTCTCGAGTTACACAGCAAATATGCTGTCCTCGTCCAGGCTGCGGGGAACTCTTCCAGCCCCCAAACTAAACAGAGCCTGAAAAGCAGGCTTAACGGTTCCCATAACGTGACAACAGCTGCAGACGTGAAAATTCAGCATAGCTTACCAGACCAAGCCACTAAACGTATATCGCACTGGACCAGAGCAATGCACGGGCAAGAAAACAGCCGAGCGGTCAAGGGAGCTGCAAGTGGCCAGAAAAGGGTCTCGAGTGAGATTGGTCACGGGGGAGCTGGGCTGCTCTCGGTCTAAATCCTCTGAAGGACCCGACCGCATGGTCCCCCTGTAAGCAACCGCTCTCATTTGCTCCATTTCCCACCGAGAGTTGCACAGTAGGCTTGCAGCTGCCAAGAAAATAATAAAGCCCGTGAAGTGCCTTCACACAGAGGAGCACTCACCGGTGTAAGCATGGGGACCGGCTCCTTCGGCTACTGGTCTGTCTGTGCCTGGCACGGACGGCGCTATCAAAGCCTCTCCCCGGTGACATGGGCGAGAGCTGCTTACCCATCTGCTATGTAAACCCTTAAATTATGCACCAGCTTTCCCTTAACTGATTCTCCCTCGTCCCTTTTCTCCACCACTCCAAGCGAGACAGAGAAAGACGGCGAGAAGGAACAGGAGGCGGCTCGCTCGAGACTTCCCCGGGGATGAGCGGCGAGGCAGACCTACAACCAAGAGAGGGGCTGGCAGCTAGCTTGGGGTCCCCACTCACTCCTGGCTCTCCAAATTAGAGTCCATCCTACTAGAGAAAGGATTACGGTCTCGGCATCTGCTGCAACGCCTCCGTGCACCTGCCCTGGGGCTCTTACTTCGGTCCCCACGCTTCCGATCCTCGTCTCTCCTATGCGCACCGAATGCAAAATGGAGAAGCAGAGGTCCTGCTCGGTGGCTTGGCAGACCCAGAGAGAGAAACAGAAGAGCCGCCTACGGAGACGGGCAGGCACCGAAGCCGTCTCGGCCCACCTCTGGGGCTCAGCACCCTCCATCAGCAGGAGGCCAGACTCAAGTAAATCTCTGTGATCATTTGTTCCCTTTGAGTTTTGAAAGCAGAATGCCTAATCATGGCCAAAATCAGGTAAGAGCGGCTGCTGCAAATTACACAGCGCCACAGGTAATTTCTGATTAGCTCACTCTTCCTCTCCTGGTGCATCCTCAGTTTCCATAGCAGCTAAGTCCTAAGTAAAATGGAAACATCTGGTTCAAGCGCAGGTAAAGATTCCCTGGGGAAAGAAACCTGCTGGATGGCAGCAAACACAGAAAATAGCCCTCGCAAAAGAGAGAGGCGTCGTAAGCCGGGAGCCTGGTTAGGAGAGGATGGATGGCGTGCGGGAGAAGGCAGCAAGGGGCACGGGAGTGGGAGAGGAGGGTCCTGGGGGACCAGGAGGGGATGCGGGAAGGAGAGCGGGGCTGCGGGGAAAATGAGACGCATGTGAAAAATAGGTGGCGAGGAGGTCGAGCGAGACAAAAACACATTGTCAGGGTAGACAAGAGGAAGAGGAGAAAGAAAAAAGGCTTCAAGGTGGGAGTGCACGGACCGCCTCAACCATGGTGACCGCTACAGCAACAGCAACTTCGATGCCACGGATAGGAGCTTGGGGCCGGAGAGGAGCACCTGGATCCACACCCTGCAGATTTTATCCATTGTTCATCCATGCCCAGACCCCGGCTGAAGGCCACCGTCTCGGAGGCACGACCACCTAAGGCAGATTGGCTGACATGCGCACCGGGGCAGGGGGGAACAGTTTTTACAGAGGCTTCTGTCAAGGGAAGGGGCCGAGATGCTGCCAACTCGGCTCGCTCTCTGCCAGGGCTATGGGGAGTGATGGATCCAGCCCAGCAGTTTGCTACAGAGCAGACAAATAGCAAAAAATCAATGGAGCCGCACTGAGACGCCGCAGCCATCGTCAGGCAGCTGAACAGAGAGAGCAGACGCGGCACCATCCATCATTGCTGCTGCCGCATCGTCTCCTTCGGCTGCCGGACAGCCCGGCCGGGGCATCCCCGAGAAGAACTCGAGGCAGTTGCCTGGGACAACAGCCCACGTTGGCAAAACCTCAGGGGAAAAATGACCGAGGTTGAACTGAAGTGCTCAGATGGGATCAGGGGATTGGAGCCAGGCACTGCCCCTTGGGCAGATGGCTCATCCCACCAAAAACCCCCAGATCTCAGCCCCCGCTCACTGGGGAGAACCTCGCAGCCACCCGGGAATAACAGGGCAGCAAAACGCAAAGCAGATGCCAAACAGCAGCTGGGAAACGGTTAATATATGCTCCCGAACGGGCACATGTGGGAATTTGCTTCCCAGCAGTCGCACCCACGCGGTTCTGCTCAGGTTTTGCTTACCAATTAACAAGGCCACCAATTAACAAGGCCACCAATTAACGCTTTGTGTGTTTTCCTGCTCATGGGCTCTATTTACAGTGCTCCTTTGAAGCGACGTGCGAGAATTCCCTGAAAACTTTTCCCTGAAAAATAGGGCTGGACAAAGCACGTTCGATTCTGAAGCGTGACAACCCCAACCTGGTACCTACTGCCAGTCCTCTGCACAAGCAAAACCGTAAGCTCCTCTCCCAGGCCAGCGAGGTGGATGTTTCTCCCCCAGAGTCATCAACTCCTGCATTAAGTCACATCTTTTCGGCGCACATCACCTCCTCCGTGCAAGTGAAACGCCACGCGAACCAGCCAACGACAGCTCGCGAATGCCGCTGTGCCCTTCCCAGAATATTTCTGGTAACGTTTGGCTCTTACCTTTGGGCGAGATGTGTCTCCAGGTGATTGTTGGATCTGGCCTGCCCGTGGCTATGCAAGTGAGGCTGACGTTGCCACCCTCGTTGATGGAGATGTCAGAAGAGATCTCGGTGATTTTCGGAGACACTGCAACGACACAAAGAGGGAAATGAAAATGCAACTGGTTCTGCTCCAGCCCAAATCTCAAGACGTGGGTGAAAGAGACTGAATTTCCACCTCGACAACCTATGCGGTAGCCCATCAGTCTCATCTGACTTGACAGGAACGTGCAGAGGAAAGGGGGGGCAGAGAAGACAGGGCTGAAGCGGGAAGAAATTGTAGCCAGAGGGGATTCAGTCATTTTAGGGAGGCTCGAGACAGCTCCTCCTTAGCACCTCTGTGCCGCGCAAGATGATAATTCCTCCCCACCCCGCTTCCAGGGCTCATCCCATCCTCCCAGCCACGACAAACCCTTTCCAGCAGAGCCGCATCCGACTGAGAAACCCCCCCCCCCCCCGCTTCAAACTCCCCCAAAGGCAGCAGTCGCTCCTGGCGCAGCAAGAGCCCCCAAAGCACGCACGTTGGCTTGCAGCTCCTTCCGCAGCTGCGTAGGCTGTCGTCCCCTTGCAACCAGAAAAGCACCGAAAGGAGCTGGGCACGAAGACGCCAAGTCTACCGGGGAGCCTCTAAGGTCTATCACGGTGGAGAGGAAGGGAAATTTAATCGTGATGAAAGCCATCCTGCTGCATTGGCACCGCCGTCACCGATGCTCAGGAGCAGGTCAGATATGAGGGGCCCAGACCCAAAGAGAGGACACACGTATGGGACCGGGGGTGACGAGAAGGGAGGCAGAGAAGAAGGGATGAGGAGCGAGCAGGGAGCGCTCGGCCCCTGCTGCTGCGCGAGCGGAGGGCGCGCTGCGGCTGCCAGGAAGGGCTGGGGTTTCTATAAGCTCTGTGGCAGGGCTGTACGAGAAAAAACGATCGGCTGCTGTTATCAGCCTGCACCTGCAGAACATAATAAAGACCATCACCTTCCTCGGTTTATTTCTTTTTCAGGCCATTCTCCGGAGCCTAGCAGCGGATCGGCACCCTGCTGCGGCGCTTTGCAGGCGAGTCACAAATCACTTGCAAAGCATCCTGCTCCTTCCACCCTCCCTGGGAGAGCCCCACTCATCCATCCCCTTGAAGCTGCAGCCCAGACCATTGCAACACCCCTATTCCTGACTCGGACCCCACTCCCGAGCTCCCCTTCCGTGCCTTTCCCCACCTCCCAACACCTTCCCGGGGCTGCACGGAGGCGGAATGACTGCAATGGCCTTGCATGCGTTGCCTCTGCTGTGCAGGTAAGTAATTTATCGATCCGTAAAGCGCTTCGAGACGCTCTGGAAGGGATTATGTCATGCCAGTGCCGTGCAATAAAATAAAAAATGATGGATTTTTTGTGAACACGAGGGTGATTTAGGGTTTGTAGTTGGAAGTGTAGTTAAAGTACATTTTAAGTGGAAATCAAGGTGGGTAATGAATTATTCTCTGTTTTGAAGGGCTTCTGGGAGTTCATTTTTTTGCTGCTCTGGGCACAACGGCTAATCCGCTAATCATGCGCCGGAGGACAACTATGGATCAGACGCTCCCAGTACAGTGGGGGCTCTGGGGCAGGACAGCGGAGGGCACGAAGATGACACCAAAAGAAATATTAGTATGCATCAGTGTCATTAAGCCCAGCGTAAGGGGACAGCACAGGCCTCCCGGGACCACCCGCCCTCACGGAGCTGGGAGATGCTCTGCCAATAGCCAAATAGTCCATTGAGGAGATGCAATTAATTACAACGGCGCTACAAGTGCCCCGCTGTGTTCCTGGCGAGGCTGGGACCACTAGCCGGGAAACCCATGTGCGCTTTAAAAAGATCGAGCTTACGGTCTGGACAACAAAAATAGGCCAAGGAGGTATTACCGTTGCCGTTTCAGAGAGGTAGAAAGAGACAAGTGGAGGCGGAGCGCGTTGCCCGCCATCGCCCAGGAAGAAGCAATAGCTTCCAGCTGCAGGACCCGACAAAACTAGAGCAGTATTTATCATCTTCGGTGCGATGCTCGCTAAATCACACAGGAACCTCTCTGATGTTTTTAACTGCGGAATCCACATCAACCCAATTCAGCATGTTTGGGGAGCTCACCGAGACTTAAAAAAAAAAAAAAAATAAAAATCAAGTCAGACTTTGCACTGTGACTCCGGTACTGCACACACAGATTTGCACCCGCCCAGGCGAGGGGCAAAAATCTGTAATTAAATCAACTGATCAGATTCTAAAACGTAGTTAAAACAGATTAAACATGGATTTCCCAAAACACAACCGTTACATCCTCCTCCTCCTCAGCGATACAACGGGAGATTTAAATTTTGCTCAGAGCGGGCAGAGGCGGAGAAATGATTGCGTTGCTGCTCGGCTGGGCAATGGGAGACTTTGCAATTCTCTCTGACAAGCGCGAAAGCAGCTCGAGCCGCTCACGCACCAGGGAAAAAGCCCAATGTGCCCCGGCAAGCTCGGGACATGCTCGGGGACAGGCAATTTATTGCGGCCCACCTGGGACGAGATGAGGCAGGAATGGCTAGGAAGTAAACCAGAGCGACAACGTCAGCAAAGTCGTTAGCTAACCCTTAAATTAAATGTGCAGTGGTAGGATTTAACACGAAGGTTATTGTATGCTAATTAAATGTTTGAATAATTAACCACACGAACCATTTAAAATGCCTTTCCGGAGACTGAACAGGTATGTTGTAAGGCTTTTACAACACAAGGGAGGGAAACCATACTAAACAAGCGATCGCAAGTATATATTTAATATTATTTAATGGTCACTGGTGCTCCCGTTCCCTCTGCGTTAAAACGCTTTCATCGTCAGTTGGCATCGCTGTGGCAACAGGGCAGAGGAGAAATTTCTTATGCTGAACGCGGGACACAGATGGAGCTGCGCCCCTATGGGAATGAATAAATAAATAAAGCTAAATAAACGCCGGCTTCCCAGGCGGGAACCCTCTCCTTGCGGGCAGTCCTTTTGTGTTCAGCATCTCTCTCGCTCAGAAGTGATTAAACATGGCAGTGTTGGCCAAGCTGCTCCAGTGACACAGCGCAGATTTCCCCAGAGGTGGGCGGGTGTTTTATCGATCCGACGGCTTCTTTTTTTCCCCTATCCTTGCCGTGATGATGGGAAAGGTCTCTGGGCTGCTCTCAGCTGCTGCAGCTGCCCAGGGCATGCCCCCAGTTTGCCCGGACTTGGCGCCCGCTCGTACGGGCAGAGTCTCCGGGACAGAAAGCAGCTTGCTTAAATATTTAACCAAACCATATGGCGCGTTACACGTTCGAGGGCGTTCAGTCAGGTGATATATGTCTTTACGGATCCAAGCATATGCGCTTGCCTACACAGATACATTCCCTGGCACACGGGCACCCTCCTGCCACCGGCACAGACTCTATCCCTGCCATGCTTTCACCTCCGAACACCCGTCCCAGAGCCAGCACAGGTGCAAAAGCTCACCCATCCCATGCACGTACCCCTCGGCCCTGCCATCTCCTATCATCATTATTTCCCCATCCGTTTTCCTTGCGTGCCACGACCGCACCGCTCACCCGCACTTTTGTCTCCCCGCTGCCACGTCCCTGCCGCTGCCTCCCTCGGCACGGCTGGGCTCCGCGGGCACCCCAAATTTCAGCCACGCGTCAAGCGAGAGGCAAGGAGGTCCCCGGGTGTTAAAGGAGCGTGGACCTGGAACAACCTCTCCACCAGAGATGGGGAAGGAGACTTCAGATGAGCTTCACCAAGCCGGTCGCCTTCCAGGAGCAATGGCATTTTTTTGCCTTAACCACCTTCTCTCTACCCAAGTTTTGGGAGCCAAGCAATACACGCGTGGCCTTTCCAGACCTGCAAATCCCTTCTCGCGCGGGAGCTGGACCCGCAGCCCCCGGCGGCAGCCTTGCAAGCCCGCGGGCTCTCCCGGTAAGCCCAGCGAACGCCTTGCTTCCTCTCATAAAACACGCAAACCTCCATCTCCCAGCACGAGCGACATCTGCTCCAGATCAAAGGAAACAACAAAGAACAACTATAAAAGTGTCTCGAAGAAAGAAAAAGAGGGAGATTCAGACTCGCGTTCTGCAGGTGATCTGTGATGTGCACCGGCGGCTTCCTGAACGTCGGGCTGCCGCTGCTCCTGCTTTTAATAACGGCGTCTTACCGCTGTCACCCCCAGACTCTTCCCCAGGTTTTACGGAGCGCTGCTACCACACGTCCCGCCTGTGGGACTCGGCGAGGGGGAGCCCCGGGTGCCCCTGCCCTGCTCACGGCGACGCTATGAGTCGGACCGAGCCCACGCTCCCGGGCCAGCCAATGGAGGGGTCTGCCAAAGCCAGCCGGGACCGACCGCGAGGCGGGGACCCCAGCATCGGGCTTCCCATCCGACCCCTCCAGGTCGTAACCAGAGCGGTCTCTTTGGCTCTGGCAGCAGTCACCGATTCCGGAGAAGGGACGGCACTCCGGCTGCCGCGGTGCCAGGCACCTCCGTCGTCCCTTCTCCCTCTTTTGCGTTCAAAACCTTCCTGCCTTTTTAAGGAAGGCAGAGAGCAAACCGAGAGACCTGCGCCTTCAATTACAGGTGTATTATAATGGGCTTTTAAATCAGTTTGTGCCGCTCTAACACAACCATAATTAAGAGAAAAGCGGAGGGGGCTTCATCCTTCCCTCATATCAACACAGCTCAGGAGCCGTATTGAAGAAGCCCACCGGGCGCGAGGAAGGGCAAACGCAGCCTGAGAGCCTGCTTTTAGCTACGCTGCTTGGTCACGTAGGCTCGTATACAACCCCCTTACAATTACAGGTGCCGATCCTGGCCCCCGGGGCCGCCTCTGCCCTGGGTTTGCCCGACCACCTCCTTCCCCGCCGGCGTGCTGGGTTCGGCTCGGCTTTGCAGAGGGACCGAGCCCCCTCCGAGCAAACCTGGAGGCAGCCAAAGACATGAAGAAAGAAGCCTGGAAACGAAGAGGACATACGTCACGACCTTAATAAGCAATTAATAAATAACTAATGGCAATTGCTCGTTTTAAAGCAAGGCGTAATGAGACGTGTCATACGGCACCGAGATGTGTCTAAACGATTTCC